GCCAATATATTCCAAAACTTGGGGAGGAGGGGGAGGAGACAGCTTTTCAAAGCACATTTCGCTTTTAACATCACTGGGTATAACAGGAAAGTAGCCTATGCTGAGTCCGACACTTCACCATTTCTTCTTCACATTCTATATTCTCCAAAGCTATTCTAACTCAGCCATCAAATGCAATATACACCAAACATCGCCTTCCCAGTAACACATTTTGAAATGTCATATATATTTGGATAACAATAGCTTTTTAAAATTTGCCCACACAAACATTTTTTGCCTGAAAGTCTGTCATGGCAAATTATGCGCCCCTCCCCATATCCCTCATCCAAATAACAACATAAACTTGCATTTATATAGCGCCCTTCATACAGGGCAGCATCTCAAAGCACTTAAACAATAACCTCTCTTTACTGGGTGCATCATTGGTCTCAGTGAATGCACGTATTGAGTGTAACTGCGCTGTGCACCAGAAAACGGAAATCAAAGCTGCACTTAATATGCAAACTCAATAGGAGAAAAAAGCCTTTTGCCAAGATCCCTCAAGCAGAAAGCAAATTTTCTGCTCCACAAAGCTCATAATGACATTACTCAAGTCCTAGATTCCAGCATTAAGAATGCGTTTAACCCTTCCACTAACACATTTCCAACATCACATGCGTTTGAGAAAACAATCACCCAAAACAGCACTAACTTCAATTACAGCTACCTCCTCCAGCTTCACTCTTATAACAGTTCGAGATGACAGCAGTCAATATTTTAAATTAAATGGATCCAGTTGCCAATAGCCAAACCTCAATGTAATTCTGTGTGAATCTGCATGATCAGACATTGCTGCTGCAAGGATTAGCATGTCAAACATATTGAGGCCGGCAATCTACAGTTCATACACTTCAGCAAGATTTGTTGCATCTACTATGCAGATACTTTACCAAGAACACCAATGGTGTGTAATGCAGAGTAACAACTGTGCAACTAGGCAGATACACATCTGTTCTCAATTCTGCTGATGACACAGCTAGTCCGTCTCACAACAGCCAACCGGTTGAAAAAAAGGGAAATGTTGCTTTTTTTAAAAACCTAAACAGCCGTCATTGCAGAGCTGCCAGATAAGAGTGAAACAGGGCTCTGAACAGACACAGCAGGTCATTCCGCTGCATGACCACTTCTCCTCGGGACGCAAATAAGTCAGTGCAGATAAAAATGAAATTCAACCACAGCACGAAAGAAACAAGTCTGCTTCCAAACATACCACGATTGATGTGCTGCGGATGAATGCAATAAGATCAGGATATTGGCAATTTGTCTTAAGTGAAGGCGTTGACCTGCCACTCCTTCCAATATTAACAGTACACAGGAAGCGTTCCCCAAGAATTTAGTGCAATAATTGGATCTATTCTATAGAGTGTTACCCAGTATTCACGTCCACTTGCTGGCTGAACTGTGCAGTGCAGCAGCTTCCTGGTAGGGTGGGGGAGGGGGGGAGGGTGGTTGAGGAATGCAGGGTTCCCTTGGAACTGAACTGTGATTTGTTTGGCAGCAGAATGTCGGAGTCGGTAGTCCGGTTCCGGACCCAGATGGGTCCATAGGGCACTGCTGATGATAGCACAGCCAACCTGGCTTATTGGCAGCACTTGGAAGAGCAGTCACTAAGTGCAGGGAATCCTCCACCTCAACCCTGCAACAGGTAGGAACAGTTTGCCAGACAGTGGTCTCAATGGCTAGCTTTGCTGGTTATACTGCTGCAGTACCCCAACGCACACTCTAGGGTCCCCAAGCCGTGGCTCTTGCCAACCTATGCCAAATACTTTCCAGAATCAGTTAAGCAGGATACAGGGAGAGAGTGCTAAAATCTATCTGTGGTCTTTCCTAGTGTAAGTGGGTTGCATGGAATTCTAAGTGTCTGGTTTGGATACTCTTAAGCAATGGAGAAGGGTTTCTGCGTGCGTCATTCCCTGGCTGACTAGAAAAAAACAGCCTGAGACCAGACTTTTCTCTGATTCACCAGAAAGTCGCATCACGAAAAGCTCTGGCCAATAAAAGATACAAATATCCTATTTTTTTAAATCGTAAATCGACTCAATACAATATATGCCACGCGCATACACGCACACAAGTTGAATGCTTCACTCAAATCTGTATAAAGCGGCACATTAAAAAACTCAAATTTCGGCAAGGCAACAGACAGCATTCATACCCAGCAGCTGCCAGAGCAAACACGAAATCAGGTCGGCAAGTTGTGAAAGTTGCAACTTACCACTTGGGATTCCAAAACCTTTCCAATCAGCAAACAGATCAGGGCACAAGAGCATCAGGAAATCTTACCACACCAACACTGACCCACATGAGGTGACAATCTTGCATGACAGACTGAACCTGTCCCAACAGGTACGTTTTTCCAACACAGTGTTAACAGTCTGCAATGTTGACAGATCATTAAAAACGGAGCAGTCACTTTCACACCAACTAATAAAGGTGGCAACCCCCTTGTGTTAATATTGCAAGACTGCTCTGTGACTATTTGCAGGAGTTTCAGGTTAGCCTTCTGTCATCGCAACGGAATTTGAAAATGCCCCAAAATGCACTTGTTGATAGGGTGGAGGGTGGGGGGGGGAGGGTGTTGGGCGGGAGACCAATTTTGATAACGTTCCACGATTCTGATGGATCTTATTAGTTAAGGCTGCAACTTGGAGAGACTCTGACCCTGGGATGTCCAGTCAGGACAATACTGTTATAAGTTTGGCTGATTTAAAATATAGGAAGCAAATTATGTTCATTATGCAAGATAACACAAAAAAAACTATTTGTGTTGGGCACTGGACTCAACAGTATCAGCAGCACCAAAATACAGCAGATAGCATCTTACCAACTCTACCCACATTAACAAAGGAAATTCAGCAACTGTTCTTGGAACTGAAATGTGGTTTCATAATATGAAGTTCAAACAGCAAATCTGTCTTCTATACAAAATGTGTGTGGCAATGGTGTAATTAACACTGCAGAGCAGTTGTTTTGAAGATCATTTTCATACAGTAACAGATGCTCAGTGACTCTATGCTCCAACACAGCCTGTGAATTTTACTGTGAATGCCCACTGAAGAGATTTTTAAAAAAACACAAAACCAACACCACACACACTTCTTGAGAGGTCAGGCTAACCTCACATGATCTATTGAGGTGCGGATTTACTGCAAGTCACTCTGAGAGTATTTCCAGCAACTTCTGTTTTTGTTTCAGCTCATCATGCCTGTCCTGGACCTCTGAAAGAGCTATCCATGTAGTCCCGCTGCCCTATTCCACCATATCCTTTTATATGTTTCCTTTTCCAAATATTTGTCAACTTTCCTGTTAAAAGCTCTTTAGGATTCTGCCTCACACCACAATCCATATTGCCAATAGTCCTCAAAGATGATAATAAATAAGAAGTCTAACAAGTTTTTTGGGGAAGGATTTTTTTTATTCCTCCAATTTCAAGGACATTGACTCTTATCATTTCCCGATACCTGCCACTCACTGGTACGTTATCAAAGTGGCTACTTTTCATCTTTGAGCGTAGATGTCAGAGATACAGCATTTTGACTATGGAGGGCACTTTCCTTGACGGTCAGTGGACAGCAATCTGGAACAGGAACCCATGGTTGATATCCCTATCTCCCACCTCATCTCATTAATAATTTGTTCACTCAGCCCACGACTGTTTGTGGGACACTGCTGTGCTCAATTGGCTGCCACGTTTCGCCCCAAAATAATATACAGTCAATTAATTTAACAGTATTATTCTGTGAAGCGCTTTCTGACATTTTAATGACATGATAAGATGCTATATCAAATGCAAGGATTATTATGATTAATATCTCATATCAGGAATGCTGGGGTCAATTGTACCACTGGTAACCTGCCTAAGATCAGCTGGGCCAGCCCATACCTGGAGTCTGTATGGACAGAGCGGTGACTATCTGCCTTGGCCAAATTTTTTATGCAATGAGTGTTTCACAGATCATGTGGCTTGGGCTGTATCCTTTCTTTGGGCTGGAAGCATGTGGCTGGTCAGCTGATGGTTCTGCAGCTTTTCCTCTCAAATGGTCTAATTCTGTACCAAAGACAGAGAGAGAGAGAGAGAGCATAACAGCACGTCCGACGACACAGCTCTCAATATTGGACCACCGGGACTCACAGCGATTGAGCACAACAGACCGTAACACTTGGGGACATCTGCGTCTGTGCCTCAAACAGAATCAAATACACACACAATTAAATGTTTTCACAGTGCTGCGTTATAACCGTATGTAAATCACTATAAATATTCAGCCGGTGACTTGTCACCACAGCCCACTGCTGGCATTGTTGCAGCCGAACTGTGTGGTGGTCACTTGTTGAATGGAGTTATTCATGGTATTCAACATCTGCCTGCCACACGCCCTCTGCCTGCATTCGCACAAAACATCCTTGCATTTCCCACTGACAATTTGCTTTCGTTCTGTCTGATAAACAACTGAAATGGTTCCATAAACAAAATGAGATGTTCAACACTTCTGAGAAAACCATTGCACTGGGACGGATTAGACCAGACAGAGAGGTAAATACAGTAACTCCTATTTCTTTCGTCATCGCCAAAAGAAGTACTGTACACATACTACACACGTGAGAATGGCTACAGACGAAAGAAGAACCAAAGTCTATCCAGTTCACCTTCCACTATCCTGGCAGTCACATGCAAATGTCATGTCCCAAACTGTGTCCAGTATCCCCCAAAATATTATTTCCTAACAGAAATCTATCTCGATTTGTTCTTCAAAGAATCTTCCCGGGATGATTGAGTGAAGACTCTTATTTGGGGGTGAACTTTGCTTCGCACTCAGGCCAAGCAACTTTTTTTTAGAAAAAAATTAGATAGACACAGATACACACACACATGTACATATATATATAGGAATATATAATATATATATATATATATATATATAACAAAGTTAATTTTAAAGTTCTCTTTCGCTCCCACTTACCATCGCTGACGGAAAAATCAAGAGTCTCCCAAGTCAGACTCAAAGCCGCAGAAGAAAGGAGGAGGAGAGAAGGAGGAGGAGAGGGAGGAGGAGAGGGAGGAGAGGAAGGAGAGGAGGAGAGAGAGAGGAGGAGAAGGGGAGGAGGAGGAGGAGGAGGAGAGGAAGGAGAGGAAGGAGAGGAGGAGAGAGAGAGGAGAGAGGGAGGAGGAGGAGGAGGAGGAGAGGAAGGAGAGGAGCTTTGGGATGGCTTTTGGTGTCCAGTCTTGGATTGCAATACGTAGCAGCTCTTCAGGAAAAAGAGAGAGAGAGAGAGTCAGAGAGAGAGAGTCTGTGTAGTGACTGTTTCCTGGAGACGCTGAGCTGAGCGGTAGGAGGTGAAAGGAGAGCCTTTTTTTGGAGCTCCTGCGGTTTCCACTCGTGAAACGACCCGCAACGTTAGCGCAGCGCTGAACACTCACTCCGGGTTTATAACACGGAAACCAGTCCGCAAACGGCAGCGGAACTGATGTAACCGAAGTGGGAAGAGCGAGAGATCGCTGTGAGCCGACGCGTGTGCGGGGCCGTGGGGTTCACTCTCCCCCTTCTCTCTCTCTCTCTCTATATATATATATATATAAAGTGCCACAAGAGATGTCCAGTGTCTGAGCACAGGGTTTGGGGGTATTCCCCCTCTCTCTCCCCCTCTCTCCCCCTCTCGCTCTCTCTCTCTTCTCGAATGAGGTTCCATTTGCCAAATACCTGACACTGACAGAGACCAATAAATAAACCCCAACGCAATGGTGCGGTAATCAGCCTGAACCCCCCCCCACCCCCCCACCCCCCCCCCCACCCCCCCCACTGACACCCCCACCCCCCCCACCCTGAACCCCCCCACCCCCCCACCCTGAACCCCCCCACCCCCCCACCCCGACCCCCCACCCCCAGCCTGACCCCCCCACCCCCCCCAGCCTGACCCCCCCCCGAGCGAAAAGAGCGAAACAAGTCGGCTGCGAACGCTTTCCCAGGACTGTAATAAATCCGTGCGTTCGGTACAGCGCTGTGTCACGTCGGAAGGACAACAACAACAACTTGCACTTATCCAGCGCCCTCCATGCGGGGTCGAGTCTCAGAGCGCTTAACACTTGTGGAGCCTGACTCTGGAGGGAGGGGGCTGTAATGACGGTCGAACAGGGAAGTTTTCAGGCGGGACTTGAAAGAGGGGAGAGAGGGGGCAAGGCGGAGGGATTGAGGGAGAGTGTTCTGGAGTTTCGGGGAGTAGCGGCTGAAAGTGCGGCCTCCGTTGGTGGGGCAGAGGGTGCGAGGGACGAGCAGGAGGCCGATGCCGGGCGAGCGAATGCGAAGGGTGGTGGATTGGGGAGTGAGGAGGTCGGAGAGGTAGGGAGGTGCCAGGGAGTGAATGAATTTGAACACGAGAGTGGGGATCTTGAAGTCGATCCGTTCGGTGATGGGGAACCAGTGGAGCCAGAACTGGTGAGATTTGGGTACGGAGTTTGGTTCGGGTCAGTATGTGGGCAGCAGAGTTTTGAATGAGCTGGATCTTGCGAATGGTGGAGCTGGGGAGACCGGCGAGAAGTGCGTTGGAGTAATCCAGTCGGGAGGTGACAAACACATGCATGAGCATTTCGGCTTCATTTGGGGTAAGGTGTAGTCGGAGGTGGACAATGTGGCGGAGGTGGAAGAAAGTGGTCCTGGTCAGGGAGGAAGGACAGTTGGAGATTAAACCGGACGCCTAGGTTACGGCTCACTGTTCAGTGAGTCTGAGGGAGAGCCTAGGGAGGCGTTTAGATCTGCAGGAGGACGTCTCAAAGTGCTTCACAGGAATTACTGTGAAATGTCTATTTTGTGGGCAAATGTGGCACAGCAATGTTCCACAAAATAACCATGGAGTGAATGACCAAATTTTAATCGAGGGGATTATAGGCCAGGACACCGGAAGAAACTCCCTTCTCTTATGAAATAGTGCCAAGGGATCTTTTACGTCCACCTGAGTAGGCAGACGGCACCTTGGTTTAACATCTCACCTGAAGGACGGCACCTCCGACAATTCAACACACTCCCAGCAGTGCATTGGAGTACCAGTAATGTCAAATTTCCTCTTTGCCTCATTTTAGACTATTATAACCTATAACTTTAAACATAAAGTATTCAGTACTGAAGTTTGATTACTGCTAGATTTTTGGAGGGTCACCATACTATTTTCAGGCTATCTGCCCCAGGAAGCAACAAATGGTATTCGTGTGGTGTTGATTAATTGTGGTATTTTTGAATACTGTTTTTTTTCCTTAATGATAACAATAATCTTTACATTTGATGTAGCATCTGTAAGATAAAATCACTTTACTTATAACTTGCACACAATGTCCCACAAACAGGCATGAGGTGAATCAGAAATGTATCTGGAGGATTGTTAGCAAAGGCTCCAGGAGAAACTCCCTATTTTCAAATAGAGCAAAGGGATCAGTACTAACACCACAAATAAGGGCGAAACTGTAAACTCAAGGCCTGTTGTGCGAAGCTTGAACCTGCAGCTTCTGCCTCAGAGGCGAGAGTACAACCAACTGACACATGAGGAGCCATTCATTCGATCTTTTCATTCAATATGGCCAATACCATCATAATGGACTTGGGAACAAGGTCAATGCAAACGTGTGTGATGTTGATTTGGCAAATCACAGAATAAGTCTGATTGGTGTACCTGGGGTTGTTTCGTTGTTTATGTCTACAAAACACAGCAATCACCGAAACAGGAGCAGGCTATTCCTCCCATTGAGTCTGCACTGCCATTAAGTCAATGACAACTCTTTCAAAAAAATTCTCACCTCTTCTCCGTGTTCTTTTATCTCCTTACTTACCAAGTATCCACTGCTCTCTTGAACACCTCCATTAACTCTAAGGCAGTTCATTTTCATGACCCTTTGTCCCCACAGGTGCTTGCATTTGCAGTGGTTGTAAAATAATGGAAAGAATGAATAATTCGCTGACTGCTATAAAGTGGACCCTCAGTGATGTTTTCTGAAGTTTTCAATCAGAAAGAAACAGGCTTTTAAATGTCTAACTGCAATGAAAAATTATTTCTTCTCAGCATTCAGTCTAACCACTAGAATAAAAGTGCACCAAAATGAATACCATTTGGCCCGTGATTTATGCCTGTGTTAGCTCTTATGCAAATAGCCCAGATCAAAATATTCCCGATATATAAGTGTGTACGAATTTATTGTTATATGAATGCTCCAGTGTTCAAGAAGTAGGTGAAGGTGATTTTTGTTTGCTGAATTTCTTCAGAATCAGCCATCTTTATGTACTCAAGCCTGATTACAAATCTGCAGGAAAGCAGACATTTTATTTATTTAATAGACCTATTGTTTAACACAGTGTTGCCTTCTACTTTTGGTAATGACTAAACAGGACTCAATAAGATATCTGGGCTTTTTCACTGTTAATATCTGTGCTGCATTTATTTATTAGCTGTAGACTGACAGACGTTCAGATGTGATTTTAAAATCTCTAATCTAACTGAGGGGGAAAACAAGTATTTTGTAAATATTGTGTGAAATCCTTGTTTAGATTACATTGTTGAACCTCACTACTATTTATTTAGAAAATATGCAACTATGACACTGAACTGGAAGTTCAGCCCTATGTTTGTTATTTTTAGAAAACAGCTTTTTTGAAATGAAACATTCTTTCTGAAATATTTCCATCAAACAACAATAATAAACAGTTTATTTTGCATAAACTGCAAAATCTAATAACCCAACATTGTTACAAAATGTATCTCCCGGTGGCTCATTTGGTAAAGGCACAACTCAGAATAAAACCGAACCCTGCAGAACCACATTCATATGTTCAAATCCCAGTTGAATCTGGTGATTTCCACCAAAGAGCAGCATTTTTTTTTGAACAGCCGGGTGTCTAAAACATGCGGAAACCCTTCACCATTCTGAAGAGTATCCAAACCAAACTGAAGATTTCCACGCACCCCACCTACACATGGAAATTCCAGAGACAGATTGTTGGAATGGAATGTGCAACTCTCTCATCCCGTTTACCTAATTCCTCAAATTATTTGGCGCAGAGCAGCATTTAAGTGGAGTCCTGTAGCTCAGTAGTTAGAGCACTCGCTTTGCAAGTGAGAGACCTGAGTTCAATTCCAGGCAGAGGGCGAAACCTTGGGCAAGTTTTCTTACTCCACACAGAGCCTAATAATAATCCCTCCAAAAAAACAAAAACAATAATTAAATTGGTCATTTTCAATCTACGACTGTTTGTGGGACATTGCTGTGCGCAATTGGCTGCCGCGTTCGCCCACAAATATACAGTCAATTCACTTTACAGTGTGTTCTGTGAAGCGCTTTGGGACGTCCTCCCGACGTGAAAAGCGCTATATCAATGCAAGGATAAAGGTGTTACAATTGGCTTGAAAGTCCCTGGATCAGAGGGGGAAAATCAGCCAGGGTTTAACCCCTCCTCATTGCTATCCATTCGGCTCTGTTGAAAGTCTGTCGGCAATCGGGCTTAAGTGTGGTGTGCACACAACAACAACAACAACAACAAGATTCCATTTATAAAGCGCCTTTCACGTCAGGAGGACGTCCCAAGGCGCTGCACAGTTGGGTCATGACCCGAGCAGGCGGGAAATGGTCAGGGTGAGGGGAGGGAAGGGAGGGAGCGAGGAGGGGGAAGAGAGTCGAGAGGGGAGCCGAAGGCACGGTCAAAGAGAAAGGTTTTGAGACCGGCCTTGAAGGAGGAAAGGGAGGAAGCGGCGAAGGCACTGGGGGATAGAGTTCCAGAGCCTGGGGCTGAGAGGCTGAAGGCCCGACCACCGATGGTAGGGCGGTTGGGGCGGGGGACGTGGAGCAGACCAGAGCCAGAGGAACGGAGGGTACGGGCAGGTAGGTAGGGGGATAGTAGGTTGGAGAGGTAGGAGGGAGCAAAAATAGGTTACTAATTATGATCACTTGGAACTTTTAACCTGACGAAAGTCAGTCAGTACTTTCAGGAGAAGATTAGAGCAAGGAATGTTCAAAAAATATTGTTCCAACAACAAAGTTTTAAATGACCCAAATAAAATGACCAAGG